GCCCTGGCCTGCAGTGTGGACGCTGGTTCGAGACCCAGCTGCTCCACTTCTGATCCAGCTCTCTGCTATGGCCTGGGAAAGCAGCAGAAGATGGCCCAAGTTCTTGGGCCCCTGCACCCACGTGGGAGACCTGGAAGAAGCTCCTGGCTCCTGGCTTCAAATCGGCACAGCTCCTGCCGTTGTGGCCAATTGAGAAGTGAACCAGTAGATGGAAGACATCTCTCTCTAGCTCTCTGCTTCTCCTCTCTCTGTGTAACTCTTTCAAATAAATAAATAAATAAATCTTAAAAAAAAACCCACAGGAATCAATTATTTTTACGAAAATTTCAGTGACAAGTTTACTACTTTATTAAATAAACACCTTAAAGATCAGTTAGGATAAAAGTCAAAATCTTTCAATGGCCTTAATTCCTTCTCTGAAATCATAGTTTCATCTATGCTGTTTTCTGTGACTTTTGGAATATACCAGCTGTTCTTACACTTCAAGGCCTTTGAACCTCCTATTTCTTATAGTTGGAGTGGTCTTTCCTCAGCTATGGCTCTGACTCACTTCCTCACTGCCTTCATTGAAATGTAACCAACTCAGTGAGATCAATTTCAAGGCCCATTTAGAAATGAGATCCAGCCATAATCCTTCACATTTCCACACTTTCTCGTTCTATGCTTGGTTGACTTTTTGAATAGTACTCATCATAGATGATAGGTAGATACTAGAAAGATGGAGTTGATAGATACAGATATAGGTAGACAGATGATAGATACACAGATAAACAGACAGACATGCACTTATGTGCACCTAACCCACACCCAGATATAAATAAACACCAAAGAGATAGAGATTTTTGGCAATTCTGTTCATTATAAAGTCCTCAGCATTTAATACAGCACTCAACAAAAGGCTGCAATGAATATTTTAGGAAAATAATTATAATTTGCTTCTTTTGTGTAGAGTTCATGTTTCATTTTCAATGTGATGATGCAAGGGAGCTTCAAAAATTCATGGCAAATATGTATTATGAGGAACTTAGACATGGTTTTCAAATACTTTTGTAAAAAAATAAGTTCATTTCTAAATTATTTTTTCTTTAAAATTTTTAAAGTGCCTTCATAATTAGAAAATCACAAACATTATTGGAAGTCCCTTCTACTAACTCAGATCTACTAAAGCAGGTTGTTCTCTAATACATAAGTTGGAAATGCAGAGGAGTAGACATTTTCTCTTCCATCACAAGATTTATGACCAAGTAAAACACATGTCAGATTAACAAGGAGTAACATGTAACTTTATTTAAGTTTGATATGACATGGAGCCATCATAAATGAAGACCCAAAGACACTTAAAATCTCTTGGTTTTTATGGGTAGTCATGCAGAAATAATATTGGAAGACTAAAGGGTATGACTTAATGGTAACAAATTGAGGAAGGCAGACATGTGACCCAGGAGTTGAGAAGATGCTTAGAATGACTCATCCCATATCCAACTGCCTGGGGTCCATAGCAGCCTTTGACTCCACTTCCAGCTTCCTGCTGATGTGGACACTGGAAGGCAGTGGTGATGGTTTAAGTACTTGGGTTCCTGCCATCCATGTAGGAGAACAAAATTGATTTCTGGTGTCTTGGCTTTGGTCTGGCCCTGCCACAGCCATTACAGGCATTTTGAGGGTAAACCAGCTAATGAATGATCTCTGTCTCTCTCTGTCTCTGCCTTTCAACTAAAGAATTACATTTAAAATACAACAAATCAAAAACAAAAAATAATTAAGGGGGGATTATCAAATCCTGTTTATTCAGATTATTCTTTGCATCTCCTTGTCTTTGTTCCTTTATTCTAGGGATAGGAAGAGTCCATGAGGGATTAAAGACCCATTGTAGAGGAACATCGGAAAATTCTTTTCTGAAAATTCATTTCTACTGGGGAGAATGATGGGAGAAGGTCAGAGAGCTTTCTGCTTCTGGCAGTTCCTCAATTGTCAGTGTGAGTATTTGTGGCAGCTCTCCTGAACCCCATCAGCATATACATTATCATCCTGATTCTTGACTGTGTTGGCATTCAGTTCCATTATTCCTTTCTCCAGTTCTATCTTTTGCCACAGATCTGGACTTAGCTGGGAATATACTACTGTCACATGTACAGTCTTCCCCTCTTGTTCTCACTTCACTGAGCACTTGGAGTAGTAAGATCGCCAGAGATGTAAGGGGTTGATAGGGTAGAGAAAGTGGTGCAAGTCATGGCAACTGGGTTCATGTGGAGTGTGAAGATTTGATAAGGGTGAGACATCTTATACAGGAATCAGCTCTGCTCACATCAGTAAATTAAGATTATAAAGATGGAACATTATTGTCCCTGTTCTGCCGAATGTCAACCCCACTTGTTAATATGCAATCTCTCTACAATTTATATGAGGACTCTGCAAAATTGATTCAGAGGAACCTCCTTGTGATCTGAGCACGACTGTCAAATGTGTCTCTAGAGTATTTTTTTGCTGGCAGCATCTGCTGCTTTTTGAAGACTTAATGGCTTGAACACAGCCTCCTCTTTTCCTTTCCATTAGTATCATTCACATTTTGAGCAATTAAGTTTCTTGTGATGCCTCTCACAGATGAGTTATGAAGTGATGATGAGCTATGAAGTGATCAATTCAGAGACAGACATTGGAGAGGGGCAAATGCTTGAGAATAAGGAAGATTTATCTCTAGAAATACATCTTATCCACTGTTTCCTATCATTTTTCTCTGCAGAGTGGCAAGATAAGTTTTCACAGCCAAACTGTGAATAAAGATTATTACCCATAAGAACAATACAAGCACAGTTTTATTATAATGCCATATTCATTTATTTTCCATTTGGTTTTTGCAAATAATATAATAAAGTTGGAGAGTGTCTAGTTCAAGAAAATAGAGATGGCAAAAGAAATTCGTACATTTGGTTATCTGAAAAAAAACACAATTTTTATTTTTAAATATAACAATTTTATTGGAGAGTAGAGAGAAAACTAGTGCTAAGAAATTTCTTAAGCAAATTTTACAGATGAATGCTATAGGATTATCTAATTTATCTGAATGGAGGGAGGTGGAGGGATGCTGCTATAAATTAAAAGGAAATACTATTACAATTAGATAATAAGTCATATGACATAAGTCATATATCTGGGCTTTCTGTTAGGTTTAACAAATACCTGACAAATATATCTAAAACTCACTAATTAGAAAACAAAGAAGTATATCTGGGTATATAATGTAAAGACTCCAGAAATAATAAATCTATTTTGTAATCCATAGCCTGAGTCAGAAGTACTACCTTATACATGCACATTATATTGTAGTTCAGGGTTCTCTGTATAGGGAGAATTATAATTTAGGGATGTTCCATGTATATCTAAGATGCCATATGTATGTAATATCAGTATAATATAACCACAAAGAAAACAGGCAGAGATAAAAGGAAAATGAAAATTGCTTAAAAAAGACTTAAAAGAAAAAATACTATGATTTGATCCTTGGATTTAAATGTTAGAAACACATTAATTTATGGAACTTAAGTTTTGGAACTAGAGAGAAAATGAATTAAAGGAAGCTCTGTAGGAAGGAAGAATGGCATAAGGAGAAGGCGCATGAAGATGTTCTGGTTCAATTCAGGGGAGAAAGTATCTGTGAGACGCAAGATCAGGTGATTGTAAGCAGAATCCGATAGCTGTCGAAGAGGAACACAGCCAAAACTTCACACTGGTTGAGAATGGAGTCTGTGGGATAAGAAAACGAGAATCTTCTTTTAGCAATGCTAGAGCTCCTCTATGTTCCCATGGTCCTTTCAGCCTGACTACCCCCAGGAACTCACCTGAATCAGGAGGCATCCCTTTTCCAACAGACCCTGGAAAAGTCAAATTCAGTGAAGAAAAAAATGGAAAATCTACTTTGGAAATACAAGGTGTCAGGCCTGGCGCTGCGGCACAAGCATCGCATATAGGTCCCAAGTTCTAGTCCCAGTTGGGGCGCTATTTCTGTCCCGGTTGCTCCTCTTCCAGTCCAGCTCTCTGCTGTGGCCCAAAAAGGCAGTGGAGGATGGCCCAAGTGCTTGGGCCCTGCACCAGTATGGGAGACCAGGAGGAAGCACCTGGCTCCTGGCTTCGGATCGATGCAGCACCGGCCATAGTGGCCATTTGTGGGGGTGAACCAACGGAAGGAAGACCTTTCTCTCTGTTTCTCTCTCACACAGTCTAACTCTCTGTCAAATAAAAAATTAATATTCAAACTCAAAAAAAAGGAAAGACAAGGTGTAATTAATCATTGGAAAATTACTATTCCCTACTTCAGCTTAAATTAATTTATTTCAAATTTGAGATAAATTTGTAAAAAATATATACAGTCAAATAAGCAGAATGATTTTAATTAAAAATTAAGAAAAGGAAATTGCAAATATGTGAAATAATCCATTGAAATAACACTTATTACACCAATAATTGTGTTTATCTATATGAATGAGTTCTATATTAAAAGAAAAACATAGACCAATTGAGTAGTTTGATTGTTAAAGGATTAATGAATGATACAGCATACAAAACCTGCAGAGGAATGAGGAACTCTATTTCACATTATTGGTAGTAAGTTTTTGTAGTCTAAATAAATAGAGAAACAGCTTGATTAGTTATCACTAGGTATTTGTCTTATTTAGACTAATAGCATGATCATTGGCTGCCTGTGTGTGAAGCCTGTAATCGTCCAATACTCTTCTCTCTGTTTTTTTGTAAAGCACTTCTAAGTTAGACTTTGGTTTGTTAGCTTCCTAAATTAGGTTGCAGTCCAATATGTAGAATGTCAAAGCACTGGGCACTCTGTCCAATGGCAGTGTTCAGAAGCTTGGAGCTTGGTAACACTCCCTGTCATCATCCTAATGGACTCATTTGGTCACAAGTCCTGAGGTTAGGTCAGTTGCATGACTCCTGTTTTTTTCCATTCTAGTCAAAGTGAGACTAATGTACACTGGATGGTGGCACACAAATCTTTAAGACTCTTGAGGGGACAGAGTTGACCAGAGAGATGACTGTGATGATTAGCAGGAAGATGATTCTAGGAGATTACAGTGCAATGATTCACAAGAACGCAACGGAGCTCAACTGATCAATTTGAAAAAAATCAAATCTCCGGCTATGTAAGTAGTTCAACAGTATGTGAGTCTGGTTGGTCACAATCTTTAGGAATTTGTGGTGATTAAGGATTATCATCCACTGTAGAATGATCTGATTTGCCTAGGAATCTTTTCTTAAATTGTTTGTTTGAAAGGCAGAGAGAAAGACACACAGAGAAATCTTCCATCTGGTGGTTTACTCCCCAGATTTCCACAACAGCCAGGGCTAATTCTGGAACTCGATCCAGTGGCCGGGACTCAACCACTTGAGCCATCACCTACTTCCTTCCGGGGTCTGCATAGGCAGAAGTTGGGGTCAGAAACAGAGCTGGGATTGCAGCCCAGTCACTGTGAAATAGAATGCAGAGAACCCAAGAAGCATCTTAACAGCTGCACCAAATGCCCAGCCAAAGAGGCAACCGTGTTTGTCATCAGCTTGGAAACACAAGCATAGTGACCTAGACACCTACTTGAGGAAGTCTTAAGCTTAGAAAACTTGGGGGCAAGTTAGCCACCACTTAGAATGCCTTCAAACTGTCATCCAGTATCACAAATACATTGTGTACTCCTTTTCCAAAAAGAATTTCTTCAATGCATTTGTTGGCAATGCCTAAAGAAAAAGTAGTATTACCACCTTTTGAATTAAACTTTAAACAATAGCATAATAAGTGGAAAGATACGTGCATTTAGATTTGTTCAGTGCCATATGCAAGTCCCTAGGAAATCTAAAGATGCCTGATAATATTCAGTAACTACTTTTGTTGAACACATATGCTGTCATACACCTTCTGGAGGGTGACTTCTACCTATACAAAACCCTAGGAATTCCAGTTAGTCAAAAAGTCTGACTTTCTCTCAATTTATGCATTAGTTTCAAATTCCACACAGTTGGCACCTCATTACCACCAAGAGTGAGCCTTCATTTGGAGTTTTTCTCCAGCTGATATTAGCTTATTTTTATCCGTTTCAGGGTTAATGCTAATTTCTACTGATGGTCATTTTGGCTTCTATTTATAGCAAGTATTGTATAGACCAATAGGAGAAGCGATTCAGAAGGCAGGAGGGAATCAAGCTAGAAAATAAGATCCAAACTAGTGGGGAAGCAGAACAAAGCAGGCAAACTCTCCTCAGATCCAATATGGATCTTCAGGGAATGGAAAAGAGGGCTACATAAAAGCATTTGAGCTTAGATCAATTAAATCTGTCAGCCTATTTCTCAGCACACTTCTTGAAACAAGGTCTGGGAAGAAATTGACTTTTCTGTGGCAGGCTGTAAGGGTGTACAACCACATGTTGTGAAAAGGGACCATGCAGAATTAACCCAGTTATATTGTACAAGCAAGTACTTGACCTCACATAGATAGCCCCCAGGTTTTGGGTTCCTGATACTGGGAAGCATAATAAACTTTCCACAAGCATCATCCAGATAGGATTTGGTTAGAGTTTTGTTATCAGCTTAAAAGGTAGGGATATGACTTTCAGTGAGTGTAAGAAAGTAAGTGACAGGATTGTGACAGCAAGAAACAAAAGAACAATGAGAAGTTTTTCATGATGGCAGAGAAGGGAAGACTTGGTTGTTGATCTTTGGAACGTTGTACACATCCATGATTCCATCTACTTCTGGGAAAGACTTACCTGGTCAGCTGCACCTTATGACTTCAACAGCGTACATTTTCAAGAGTCTGGATCTGCTTTCTTGAGATGTATGTGATCATGTTCCCAAGTATTGAAGCTTTAATGAGGTAGGGTTGGTAAGAAACTTTTTATCAGAATTTATAAGACTGAAAAATATGAATGCTTAAAAAGTTCATGGAAAATCAAATTAAATGATGGTTTTAAAAAGAATTGTTCTATTTACTTGAAAAAGAGAGAAAATAAAAGAGAGAGAGAACAAGAGAGAAATCATCTTGGTTCACTCCCCAAATAGCTGCAATGGCGAGGGCTGGGACAGGCTGAAGCCAAGAACTGTATAACATGATAATATGTTCTTAGTCCATAAGCCTTCCAGTAACTATTTCATAAGGAGTAAATCTATATTTCCCAATGGGAGTGGATCTAATTGCCATCAGGGCCTATAGGAATACCTTTGGCCAAACCAATACAATCAACTCAATTAACTTTTTCAGTTTTAGTTTTTAATTGCCATTTGTCCATTTGACCTTTACAGAAGAGTGAGAGTAACTGGGATAATGATAATGTCATTATGTTTGCAACACCTTACCTAACTGCTTTAGAACTTGTCCATAAAATAGCTTGCCAATAGTGAAGATTTCTCCAGCAATGTCCCATAAATGAAATTCCTTTGTTATTAATTTGGTAACCATTGTCCTAGCACAAGTTTTTCAGCTGGAGAACCTACAAACTATTAAAAGACTGTGTTAAAACCCATTGAAGATGAAAATTGAATGAAACCCATCTGTAAATGCTCAAATCATAGATCATGTAGCAAAAATATACCATCTGCAGTTCCAATTATCTTGCTAGAATTATATGTTTGACAAACAAAACATTAATTATAACCATTTTTATCAATTTTACAAGTGTCACTAAACCAGTTATTTGTATCACTTTGTTCTGTGATGAATTATGGAAAGTAAGCCCTTTAATTTTTAAGCATTTTATTAAAGTACAATATACATCCCAAGAAATGCACATAAGTATACAAATGAATGAGGTTTTTGCCATCTGATCACACTCATATCCAACACTCAAACTAAGAAAGGGTTAATGATACCTCGAGAGTTCTAACTATTCTCCACGTTTCTATTGTTTTGAACATGTGAAAGTGTATCATCATGTATGTGGCATGATTCAGTGAAACACAATTTATAACTATATATCAAATTATACGACATCCACATAGTATTTATACTCTCTATATTCACTATTAAAAACAAGAATGCATGTGGTATTTTTCTTTTAGGGTAAGACTTATTTCACTTAGAATAATGGTCTCCAGTTGCATCCATTCACTTTAAATGTCAGGATTTCATTCTTTTACAGCTGAGTAGCATTCCATCATGTATATATACCACATTTTCTTTACCCAATTAGATGGACATCTAAGTTGGTTCCATATCTTAGCTATTGTGAATCGAGCTGCAATAAACATGGGATTTCAGGTCACTCTTCAATATGCTGCTTCCATTTTCTTTGGATATATTTCCAAGAGTGTGTTGGCTGGGTCATATGGTAGACCTGGTGTTTTTTTTTCAGTTTTAGAAGGGATCACCATACTATTCTTACATAATAATTGTACTAGCTATTTTCCACTAGCAGTGCATTAGGGTACCTTGTTCACTACATCCTTGCCAGCAATTGTTATTAATTTTTTTCGATGACAACCCTTCTTACTAAGGTGAGGTGTGGTTTATATTTGCGTTTCCCTGACGGCTAGTGATCCTCAGCATTTTTTCATGTGTCTGTTGGCCCTTTGGATTTCCTCCTTTGAAAAATGACTGTTCGTATCTTCTTCCCATTTATTGACTTGATTGTTTTTTGTTGTTGTTGAGTTCCTTGAGGTTCTTGTATATTTTGGATATTAACCCTTTATTGGATGTTTGTGAATATTGTCTTTCTATCTGTTACTTCTTCACTTTGTTGCTTGTTTCCTTTCCTGCGCAGAATCTTCTTAGCTTGATGTAATCCCAGTTGTCTATTGTTACTTTTATTGCCTCCGTTTCTGGTGTTTTATCCAAGAAGTCTTTGCCTACACCAGTGTCTTAGAGCATTTTTCCTATGCTTCCCTCCAGTAATTTAGTGGTTTTAGGTCTTAGGTTTAGATCCTTGATCCATTGTGAATTGATTCTTGTATAGGCTATAAAGTATGGGTCTTGTTTCATACTTTTGTGTGTGGAAGTTCATCATTTCATAACACTTGTTGAAGAGACTGTCCTTTCTCCAGAGAATGATTTTAGCTCATTTATTAAAGATTAGTTGGTTGTGGTAGGTTATTTTCTGGGGTTTCTACTCTGTTGCATTGGTTTAAATGTCTAATTTGTGCCAGAACCAGACTGTTTTGATTATAACAGCCCTATAGTATGCTTTAAAATTTGGTATTGTGATGCCTTTGGCTTTGTTTAAATTTTTTAGAATTGCTTTTGTTTTCCAGGGTGTTTTCTGTTTCCATATGAACATTAGTATTTTTTTCTAGATATTTGAAGAATTTCCTTTGTGTTTTGATTGGAACCACATTGAATATGCAAATTGCTTTGGGTAGTATGGACATTTTGATAAAGCTGATTCTTACAATCCATGATCATGGAAAATGTTTCTATTTTGTTGTGTCTCTTTTATAATTTTCATTAACATTTTGTAATTTCAGTTGTGGAGAGCTTTCACATCCTTTGCTAAATTGATCCCAAGGTATTTAATTGCTTTGTAATGACTGTGAATGAGACTGAACTTGTGACTTCTTTGTCAACCAGAGCACTGTAAGTGTATAAGAATGTTACTGATTTTTGTAAGTTGATTTTGTATCCTAAAATTTTATCAACTTTTGTTTATGAATTCTAATAGTGGAGTTTTTGATTCCTCAAATAAAGAATTATGTTATCTTAAAATAGGAATATTTTTGTCATCTTTTTTTCCAATTTGTATGCCTTTGATTATTTTTCTGACTAATGGATCTGACTAAAATTTCCAGAATTATATTGAATGATAGTGATGCAAAAGGGCACCATGTATGGATTTCATTTGTGATTGCCTATCATCACATTTCAGTACCAGCTTTACTAAACATGAAATTTACCACAGAATTTTCTGGGTATTCAGTTAGTTCATGTTTTACCTGATAATGGTTTTGTAAGTCAGTCAGTTTAGTCATTAGAGTTTTGGAATCCTTAGTGCCATGGTTTGATCTTAAAGTTATCAGAAACCTATACTTATGAGAATTCTTTCCTTGAGTCTTTCATAAGATGAAACACTTTCGGTTATAATTGCTTGCAATAGCTTTCATGCAAGTATCAGAGTAAAATAATTAACTGTCTATGGATGACAAGACTTAAAATGGCCATAATTAAAGGTTTGACGAGAGATCATTATAAGGCAATTGACAAAGAAATTTCATTATTTCTGTGACAGACAATATTTAAGATAACAACTATAATTATGACTGATGGGTTATATTAGAACCATCAGATTTCTAGGAATTTCATGTAATATATAAAGTACATTAACAATGTATCCATACAATGTGAATTAAAGAAGTTTCAGTATTACATGTTATTTGACAATGGTTTCCATGCACTTTAACATATCAAATATGCTGAATTATTTTAATCTCCTTCTGCCTCTATTTTTATAAATCAGGGATCCATCTGCAAGCTCCCTATACCAGTTTGAGGTCAAAAGATTTAACTTATATCTCGATTTGGGGAAGTTTATCAATATCAAAAGTTCAAAACACTTGATTAAAATGGCATCACAAATCACTTTTAAATAACACTATTCATGTAACCAAAGTGATAATCAAAAGAGAGACTTCAAAGGCTACAGAAAATTATGTAGCTCATTTTTCACTTTTGTACTTTTTTTAAAGTATACGTGTTAACACACCAAAAAAGGCTAATGATCAATTTATTTATCTTTTAGCCATTTTTACCTTATTTAAATGTTAAGTAATTAGATTTTGTAAAAAAATAATTAAAAGATAAATTTATTTTGGTGCAAAAAATTGGAAAAATATTCATAGATTTTTCACAACATATATTTTCCAATTATTATACAACCCTGTATATGAATCCTTTTGTTTGATTTAGTTTTAAAATGTGCTTGACATACATGAATAAGTGTATTTCTTCTAACAACATTTATTCTTAGGTAGAATGTATAGTTCTGTATTTTTAAACCTCAAAAAAAGATGGCATAAACCTACATAACTAATCAACCCAGATATAAATTAAAAATTGTGTGTGTGCATATTTGATGTCCAAAACTCTGAATATAGACCTTTTCTGATTAAACAGAATTTCACTAGTTTTTATTTACTGAAGATTATCACAGATCATGTAAACTTGAAATATTTTAGTTCAGTTTCCATCACTTTAACAGTTTAAAGGATAGTTAGTTTATATATGCATATATTTTCTTTGAAGCCAACTAAATAGAGGGCTCTAATTTTAACCAATTAACTTTGGCAGTACCACCCAGAGGTGGAACAATGCCACCTACACCAGCATCCATCGTGTGTTTATAATGAGGCAGAAAACCCAAGAGTTCTTGTTTAGCACACATGCCAGTGGAAACAGGGAGACAATGATTTGAGCTGTGAGGTAAAGGAATTTATCTGAGCTGGCCAAGCCAGGAGCAATGTTGTCTAGTGACCAAAACCCAGGATCTGTCCCTGTCAAAAGAAAATCCCCAAAGCTGAATTGTTGTACTTGATTCCCAGGAAACAGTGAACACCAACCACATTGCTCTTTCGTCCCCGTCATTTGTGTTTAGATTAAAATTATGCTTTTATGATTTTAAATATCTAACAGCTTGGATAAGCATCATTTTTCTAGGTCATCAACCCCAGACACAAATGGATGTTAATGATCATAAAAAAAAAACCTTAACTTTCTTTTTACCAACAAATTTACAAATTTATTTGTCAAAGATTTACTTAAGTCACATGAGCCAAAAGGCATTTGGACTAATTTAGCAATTTTAATTTATGTGAGCACTCATTGATCTGTAAGTCAATTCAAAATACAATTCTTTATGGTATTTTATCATGTAAATATTATATGTAACTAATGCAACACATATAACACACACACGTACACATCAAATCTTACCTAACTTTGTTGTTCTACATCATCCATTAATGGAAAACTAGGCCAGGCTTCCACCATTGGCTCCACCCTGCCACGTAGCAGACAGTGAAACAGAGGAGCTACCTAAGGCCGTGCAGCTGGGGCCATGATGAGAGAGGAGGGGCTATGAAGTCAGTTAAGCGCTCTTAGAATTTTCTTTTTATGATTCCATAAAAAGTACACAACTTAACACAGCACAAATCGTAGCAGATGCTAAACAAAGAACAGGCACCAAAGGTCGGAGTACAATAGAACCAGGGTCCTGGAAGGACTCAGCAAGTGTTCTCACCACCGTGAAACCCAGTCCTGCCTCAAATAGTGAGATTGGGGATTTACCCCAACAGAACCCATAGAGGGTTAGACAGGACCCACATAGGGGCATACAAAGTCAAGGAGGGAGATAAAGTGGCCTTTTGAGATTACTCACCTGGAGACATTTTTCTACTGCAAACAAAAGAGAGGGAGGTAGGGAGGGAAGGGAGGGAGAGACAGAGACTGAGACAGAGACAGAGAGAGCAATACCACTGTACCAGAGGTGAAAGCCTTGGAGAATCACTGAGCTACATGCTTGGCAGCTGCTTTATTCACAGGCTGTGTCCAGCTCTCTGACTGGGGCTGGTGTACCACTGGCAAACATTTAGGAAGGACTTCCTGTTCTGCCAGCAGTGCCATTGTGTTACCAAAGGCATTTGGTGTATTTTTTGTCTTTTGGTGTATTTGTATTTGTAGGCTGGAAGACCAATCACCAAATCCAGGTTATTTTGCAGAGAGAAAGCTATTACAAGGAGATCAGGTAAGGAGTCTGATAAGGGGCCTGGGGAAAGATTTTATGGATTAGGTCGGAAGGGGCTTGTATGTAAAAATGCTGGCAAATCAAGTTCTGATTAGAGGGACTCAGAATCAATCAGGACAGTGTCGATGAAAACAAACAGAATCTGAAAAACAGTTTAATATGAGGTTTATTCAGGGTAGAACATGAGTGACCTATTCGTGGGAAACCCAAGCCCAACAACTTACAATGAGTCTTTGGAAGTATTCCAAAGTTGTCAAATTCACATCCAAATTTCAATACACAATGTGCATACTTTGGTTTGGCTTGAAAAGTAGCTTTGTTACCAGGGGAAAATTTCTCAATGGTTAGAGATTACTTCCTTTAGGATATGATTGTCTACAAGCACTGTCAGAGACACGAGGGTTTTGTCTCTGAAAAGAGGCTGCTGACAAGAAGGGTGCTCGTTGTCTTTAAGGAGGACATTTTTAGGGATGCATGATGAGGTAGAAAAACAGAGCAAAGGAGTCATCCAGTTTGCTGCAGGTGGCTAAGACAAAACATACCTTTGTGCATGTCCCCTGTGTCAAACTGACCTGATAGTTAACAAAATAAATAAATAAAGTGTTCCACCACTTCTCAGATAATGCTCACTAGATGTTTCTTTTGAATACTTACACAGGCAATTTAGGGACAGCTTGTTCTCACTCACACAATACTGTTGAAATCTAATACTGTTGAAACTAGAGACAACAGAGGACCCCCTCTCTCCTTGCTTAATGGTAAGCTTCAGGGGCTGTCTAACGTACTAATAGCCCATAATTGTCACTTGCCAATACCTATTCAAAGAACACCCCCAATCCCTTTCCTCTGTACCTGTCAGGTTCTGTCACTGCTTTGTCCAGTTTGCCCCCAATTAGCCTAACTCCAAAAATTTACAAATCTCTTTCTAAATGGAGAGGTTGCTTTGGGCTTCACTGTGATCTGCCACTTCTCCTACAGACCTATAATGAGCAATGAATGTTCTCTTTCTCAGAGTTGAATGGAGAGTTCTTACAACAGTAATCAGTCTGAACATGAATGGGAAGACCAGTTGAGTGTACCTGCTCTCACTGACATGCTTTCAGTAGCTGCCTGAGAAAACAGAGCTGAATGGAGAAGTCTATTATCGCTTTTAATTCTATTGTTTGTAATTCTATGTTTGAAAGTACACTTATACTTGTTACACTGTGTTGATTTAGGAAATAATTACAAAGGAAAAATATATGTATGTATGGTCAGTAGATATGCATCTTTTTAAAAAAATATTTTGGACCCACAGTTCCTTAAATCCAAGGACCTGGAACCCACACAGATGGCAGGCAAGCTATAAATAACATACATGCCAATATAGACATACAGAAACATACACAGACATCTATAGACGTACACACAGAGACAAAGATCATATCACTTCCATTTTAAATTGTTAATCAGGGGCCTATGTATAATAATACAAAACCTGCTAGTTTCTAGAAGAATAGTTAGATCTGAACTGTGTTTCTGGACAAAAGAAAAAAAATAACCTTTCTAGGTTAAAAGCAAGCTCCCAAACAGTGCCTTGAATGAAAAACCTCAGGCCCCAGTCTCCCAGCCAGTCTCTCTTAGCTTAACTCACTGAATCGAGAGAGTGGTGGAGATGGCTCTACAGGGTTCTAATCGCTGGACTCATGACACTTGTGGACAGCATTGTCTTGAACAATGTTCTATAGGAGAATTCTGGGTGCAAGACAGAAAGCCCTGAAGCCCACTTTGCCATTATCAAAATCCCTGAAGAGTATGGCATTGCTGACCACTGAAGAACTTGGACCTGAGCTGACCTTGTAACTGGACTGGATATGCACTGCAGCTCCAACTAGCCCCTTATCACCTGGCCAGCGGCCAACAGGCTGCTGCGTCTGTCCTTTATTCCCTTATTCCTGAATTCTGCTTCCCTGTGGCCTCCTAAACATCCCAGAGCACCCTTATTCAGGACGGTGGTAGATCTGGAGACTGGAGGGTCTGCTAACCCTCATATGTCTTTTCTTTACCCTCAGACTTTGTCCCCATTATTTTGGTTTTCAGGAACAAGATGACTAACACTAAGATTTCTGAAAAATACTGAGATTATTGCTTGCTCCTTTCCAAATAGTTCTCTTCCTCTCTTGTGATGAGTCATCTCCCTCAAATTTGCATTTTCAAATTGATGGCCTTAGGTGGGAGACCATAGAAAATTCACATCTCAAATACATAGAACTTAGATTCCAGACTTAAAAACCATTACTTTCCAAAATAAAGAAATAAATGTGCAGGTAAAAGTCCAGCTTACAGACAGGGAAAACACCTTAAACAAAGGCAAGGCATGTCCTACAGATTTTAGCCCATCAGCTCCTTAGGAATATTTGTAGTAATTTTGTCCTGCTTTCCTGGTGCAGAGGGGCAAGCAGCCTTACAAATGGAAATTTCTTTTATAGATGTAAATTTGGTCTTTCAAAAGCTTCTTAAAATAAGTAGCTGCAAATATTTCTTAGGGCAGACAGGCATATATTGGAGTCTAATCTGGCTTCAAAGATCAGGAAGTCCCAGATCCTGCCTTCCAGCGAAAGTACTAAATGCCTCAGAAAATTTCTGGGGTAGCAGAGGAAGCTTTCCCTTGCAAGGGAAAATGTTCACTGTTGTGGTGAACTCAATAATGACCAAGGCCTAAAGAAGGCTAACGAAGCAGAGTTAGTTGTTCTGAGGGCCTAATTTTAGAAGGCGTCTGTATTGCTTTCTTTTTGTCATGAGTTGGGAAGGTAAGTGAGTTAAAAGGTTAGCAGGCTGAGAGTAGTAGAGAAGGAGAGAGCGTGCGCCTGGAATTAAGGTTGTGCTCATGACCTTGCTTTGATTCCCCGGGAATTCTGATAATGGCAAAGTGCCCTTCAGTCAGTCTGGGGGCAATGTGGAGGTGGTGGCTACTTTTTGCTACAGGCCTGGAGTTCCTGGGAAAGAAACTCCTCAAGACAAGGCCCAGCATTCAAGATGCTATCCACAGGGGATTAGGGATCCTGGAGGGCTGGTTGCACCACACCCTCAACTCAGAGTTAATTTTAATGAAAGCAGGGCAAGGAATACTTAAAGGAAGGAGACTGAGACCATGGTAGAGTAGGATCTGGTAGTATTTAGCACCTGAATTCAAGGCACTGGGTAAGTATTTTAGGAAGTGTCTCCTGTTTTTATTCCAACTCCTTGTCCCATGTGAGATAAGAATTCAAAGCAGAGGCATAAATAATGTGCAAAAATGAGAGCAGGATTTATTTAAAGTGGGATTGTGAGTGTACAGGTAGGAATGAGGGCAGCCAACCCCAGAGGAGGTACTCCTGGTGAGAAGGCCAGAGGCAGCCTAGTCCCCCAGGCCATAAGGGCTTGGTTTCAGCATTGAGTACAATGGGCTTCTTGGTTACTCATTGTTGGGGAAGAGGAAAGTCTCCTTTGGATATCAATTCTGATTCCAAAAACCACTGAAGGAAAAACTGTAGACAAAATAGATTGAGCTGAGTTTATACATGCATGAAAAGATTCAGAAATTTAGCAGCATTCAAATCCAGAAGTGGCTCCGAGGCAACAAAGCAGTGAGTTTTTGTAGTGTGAAGGTAGAGGTAAAATGCATAAATAGTTTGCTTTCTCTCTCAAAGAGCAAGTGCCTTACTTGGCATCGTTTATCAGACTGTCATTGACTGAACGGTGGTGCTTATGATTGACTGAGCCTCTGCTCTCTGCTACAATAACATTCTCCCAAGTTAGGTTTGAGTTTCTGTGCTAAAAAGAGGGTGCAGCTTGTCATGTAGAAACTTGAAAATATGGAGATAGCCTCAGGCCAATGGCCCCTAGCTTATTTAACGATTCTGCCTCTTTACTACTTAATATGTTTGGGAGTCTGTACTTTCAAAGCATTTTGCCAGTGTTTTGTGTTGCTAAAGGTTGGAACTAACTCTACTGTAAATAGATCTCAGATTAGCAGGACCATTAATGAGTTGCATAGGTATGGGATTCCCAGAGTTGAGTCTGTGGTAGGGATAAGAAACTCTTGAATTGTTCTGCATAGCAAAAGTGTGCACTTCAAAGAAATGAAAGGGATGTAGAGGAGGAACAAGGTGGGAGAGAGAATCTTCTAAAAATTGATATCTATTTTTTTATTAAACTGCTTCTTGGCACTAGAATCCTCTATAATACCTCACATTTTCAGGAAACATCTGCAGTAACGCTACCTATTGGGCAGATTTTTTTTTCTGGAATGTCCCTATGTACTTCTTTTTTAATTGATTAATTTATTTTTTAAGGAATACAAATTTTATAAGTACAAGATTAGGAATATAGTTATTCTTCCCACCCACACTCCCACTCCTTCTCCTCCTCCCTCTCCCCTTCGCAGTCCCATTCTCCATAAAGATTCATTTTCAATGAACTTTGCACACAGGAGACCAACTCTATACTAAGTAAACATTTCAACAATTTGCACATATACACACACACAAAAAAACTGAGAATTAGTTTTACAGTTAACTTCCATAATAACAACTCATTGAGGACAGAGGTCCTGCATGGGGAGTTAGTGCACAGTGACAATTAACACTCTTAATGTTTGTCCTAAACAGCAGACTCATTGACAGTTGCTTTAAGTAGCACCCTGTGTATTTCTTGTCTTAGTCCTTGTGAAATTAGGCAGGGAGTTAGGTACTACTAGGTGGTAGCTTTGGGATCCCCAAGGAGGGAAGGCCTATAATACTTCCGGGAATAGAAAGTCCCTACCCGCACTTCCGGGGAAGAAAAGTCCTTGTCAAGGTCCCCACGGTGCCTAAAGGGCAACCAAGGAGGATCAGACCCGCCTCAACCTTTAACCCCTGAATCTATAAAAGGAGCCCTCTCAACTTTTGACACGTGACTTCCCCAGCCCCCTGCTCTGTTGGGACTGGTGAACCTCGCCCAGGAGTGGAATCCCAATAAAAGCCTGTGAATTAATTGATTCATCTGCCTGGGAAGATTTGTTACGCACCGGACAACAGGAATTTTTACCAGTCCTCCACTGTAACTTTATCCCTTCATTTCTCAATCTAATATGTCCACCTTCCCATGATGCACCTGTGTCTCACTGGGGACCAGCAAGGAAGAGATGCCTTCATGGCCACATGGTAGTTAAACTCTGTGTTTAGGGACTATATAGATCCCAGGAATTCTCATAAGCCACTCCCCAGCACCACATAAAATAGACTAATAACAGGCAAGATGCCTTATTTTGCTACTTGCCATGCTTGGAGATCCTTCTCAGGCCTCCTCTTTTCCCCCTTACTTCTCGTGGGCAACTCTCTGGCCCACTCATGATGTCATCTTTCCATGTGGAGGGACCCACACTCATGTGTGAATGTATGTTCACTGAGTCTCTATTTTAAATAAATCCTGCTCTCTCTCACTTGGGCACTATGTGGATGCTTGTGCTTTGGATTCTTATCTCTGTGGGGACAAGAACCCAGAATACAGATTAAAATACCTATGCCCATCACACTGGTAGAAGGGAAGGGTGAGACCAGCCTCCAAGGCTGAGCCAAGAGTCTCGTCACATATGCTTTAAAAGCAGGTGATAAGAACCAAAGAACATTAGAAGCCCTCTGAGCAATACCACGACTCTGTATGGAGAAGCCATCTTGCATTTTCCTTCTTTCAAACTCAAAACTTAAAGGTGGATACTGTCTTGGCCATGAAAACATATTTTTCTCTTATAAGAGGAAGCAAAATAAAGTATGTATATTTTCTAGTTTATTTTATAGAAAATTGCCCTACTTCCCCTTGAAGTAGGCAGGCATACAGGCTAAAATTGATTAGATTTGTGAACTGGAAGACCAAGCCTTCGCCACGCCCCTGTGTGACCTCATGCCCCAACCTGATACCTTCACCACGTCCCTGTGTGACCTCATTCCCCTACCTGGCCAGATCTGGGTGCCAACCAGTCAATCAGGTTAATCATCCACTCCCCTTTGGAAGTAGATTAAAAGCCTGGGGCACAGTGTGTCCAGCCTTCTCTTCTTCCCTGGACACTTGGCAGGAGGCGGGCTTGCTGTAGCCCTGTGCCTCCAGCGCTCATGGCCTTCGGGCCATGCGCCCTAGGCTTCCTGGCCTAGATACTCATCCACGTGGCTGGTTCCTGGTGCTCGGTATGAACCCCCATTCACCTCTATCTCTTAAATAAAGCTCTCACTCTCCTATGAACCTTTCTCACTAAATAAAAGCTTAAACTGTACTATGCTGCCTCGTTTATCTGTGCCAGTATTTAGAATTCTCCTCTAAATATTAGGCAAGAACACTCTTGGGCTTATTAATATCGGGGATTTATTAATAAGCTCATGGTGAAATCATATGGCACTCCAAATTCTGGTAGCATATGTGGCACCCCAGATAGCACTTCTGGGGAACTTTAAAGGGCCACATTTTTGTGTAGATATTAGGGGGTCATGTCTGATTTCACCCACACTTATAACAGGTAACCAAAAAAATTCATACTTAGAAAGGACAGATTTTATTTTAAAATATCATTGCTAGGCAGATGGTGGAGGCCCTATACAGGAGAGATTATTGCAACAGGAAAAACACTGTGACTACAGACTTGCAAAAGTCTCAAGAATTAGCCAGAGAGAGGCTTTGTTTTATGGAGAAGAAAGGTTTTAAAAGTGTCTTGACGGGATGGTAGGTCAAAGAGTGTTTTACCTTGTGGCCAGCTTATTTCCTGGTAGGGGCCCTTAACGGGGGCATAGTGGAAGTTATCTGCTGTTTCCAATTGAGATTGACCTGAGTTCAAGGGCTTGGGGGAAGGAGGGAAGCCAACCAAATTTTGTCTACAAGCATTTTGCTCCCTTTGATCCATATTCTTTCCTTGACCAACCTGCACTAGGCTCCTTCTGAATCCACTGTTCAGTGAGGCTCAGATTTTGGTCTTCTTGTCTACCACTGCGCTATCTGCTCTTAGGAAGAAGATTCCTGTTACACCAGTTTCAGCAGAACTCCCCATCAACAATATCGGATCATCCTCATCGTCTGATCAGTTTCATCATCCTCCACCATCTTCCAAATGATGTCCCATCTCCCTGGCCTGCCTTCAGCTAGAATCCCCATTGACCCTGATGTTCCTTTTAGTAATTCTCCATCTACTGCCCTTGCCTTGCTCTTTGTCTAGAAATGGTCACACGCATAGGCTTGGGTTCCACCTCTCTCTCCCACTGCAACACCTCATAGGACTCCACACCTATAGTGATGGCCTCCTCCTGATTACAGTCTTCTTCACCTCGTTTAACATCATGGATTATATTCTGAAGCAGTAAAAAGCAATTCAATTAGTCATTTATGAGCCAAAGAGTGGGCATTTGCATGGTTTCTGTGTTATGATCTTTTCATAAAGAAAGAATGGGGAATGCATGGATGTTGTCCATGTCCTATAGGAAAAGGGAGGGTTTTATTGCAAGTTATTCCATGGACTACAAGGTGGGATAGAAGCAAATGGGATTCCTTCAACTTCCTTGTTTTCTAGGAGCAGAAGCAGAGGGGTCACATAAATTCAACTTGTCATGGAATAGCTCCTTCTCTAACAACAAGCCTTGAGATAAGAAAGCAACAGTCATTGTACAAATAAGTTAATTTTGTTGGGATTTATGTAAACTATGGAAGGTCTCTATAAAGCCTAAAATACAAAAGTTAATTATAGTCCTAATATAAACTAAATAACAATTAGTGATTGTCATTGACTGGAAACAGTATTAACCATATTGAATATATTATTATCTAACTTTTTTCTCACAATTTTACAAAGACAGTATTAATATATCCATTTTACAGAATAAAATACAGAAGCAAAAAGAAGCCATAAGGCAGATGCCTAAAGCCACAGTTTAAACATCAGACTAAATTCTTATTGTTGAAAAGGTGCCTTTTTTGGCTCTGAAATATAAGAAAAAACAAAGTGTTTTTTCCATCTGACTCACCATTTAAAATAACACTTCCGACATCTGATGTGGAAAAGTACTTCCCCAGTTCCCAATAATTTTCTAGAAAATGCCTGCTGGGAGTCCTATTGCTATAGCTATAGAGACAGATACGTATCCAAGAAAGAGGTGGAGGAAATACCATTCCTGCTAGGGTTGCCGCTCAAACTCATCCCATGAATGGCAACTTGAAATTGCTATTATAGCAAAGCTGCTGCCCAGAAATAGCACCAGCCAAAAATATCAACATGGCTATTTACTGTGTCGCACTGACAACTTATAGCCTATTATAATTCCATTATAATAAAATTACCATGGCTGACACTCCCACTCCCATTGTGCCATGAAAATTCCAAGACTTCTTATAAAGGCCAGAAAATGTCCAGTCACCAAATTCCTGGAAATGTCTGTCCATTCCTGAAAGGGTTTACTCCCTCCTAAGTGTGTACTTTCACTTTGCTAGTAAATCTAATTCCTCTGCTAAGCTTTATTTTTGTCTTGTCCTTGAGTTCTTTCATATGACAGAGATAAGAACATGAACCTCTTAAATTCTGAACATTATAACACCTCTTTTTTAAATTTATATAAGTTGAACAAATTTCATGTAGTTCATAGTGATATGAAATACATAGTGGTACTTCCACTCTATAACTCCTCTTAATTCCAACACTCTAAGACAGAGTCAGATCCCAAAGGTTGAAGGTTCAGTTCCACAAGACTGCTCCCTCCCCATTTCAGATGCCAATCATAAGCAATAGATCATCAGCTATACTCTGACCAACCAGCTACATCAGGGGCCTTTCTGCCTTCCCCTTGAGTTCAATTCATTTTCTGTCAGTCACAGAGATCAGGGAAACACTTTGCTTACATGTAGCAGTTGAATGATAGGGAAGGTAAGAAAGAATAAAAAAGCCAGATAAGCTACACAATGTGAGGTCTAGAAAAGTCCTAAGCACAGAAATTTCTGTCCTTGTGAAGTTGAGATGACCATTGTCCCAGCACAAGGATATGTTTGACAATTGGGAAGCTCTCTGAACCCTTAAATTTGGAGAACTTTATGGAGGTTTTATTTATTTCCAGTGTCTCTTCCCTGTCTGGAGAATAGGAGAGGGAGAACTGAATGACCTACTCTTATAATCATGGTTATCTCATTCTGGTGACCAGACCTTAGTCAAGAGCCCACTATGAGTTGTTTCATTAGGAAAAAAAAAAAGGTGTCCAGTAAATTCCAAAGGATTTAGGAACTCTGGGTCAAGAACTGGGGTCAAAGGCCAAGTATTACAGCAAAGTGATTTTCCTAGTGCCCCCATCTAGTAGGGTATTAGGAATTGTGACTCAGGAGATTGGGCCAGAATAAAATATTGGGATCAAAGATTCTTCTAGCACCCCTTTCACTCAGAAAACTAAAAAGGTGTTAGGTGATCTGTGCTCAGGGCTGGAACCAGAGACCAAGATATATGTATTTCCTATTACTATCTCACACTGGCAGTCAAGCTATGTCAAACATTACATTGACCTGTTAGTGAAACTGAACCCCTATACATGGCCTTGAATGCAAATGTTGGATACCACCAGGCCTCTGCCTCTCAGCCTCTCTCCCTTAGTGTAAGGTGTCTTTGTCCTGTGTTGTATGTGCATGTGTGTGTTGTTGTTGCTGTTGTTTTAACCTTTTTTTTTTTAATTGCAAGTTGACCTCTTACTAAATTTAACTTACTGAATTGAAGGAGTACTGCAGCCATCACTGGACTCATGTGGTCATTTTTTTCTCCAATGATTACCAACTCGATGGCTGGTATGGTCTCAAAGGGTATCTTCTCAGGGAAATTCCAGGCCCATGGCAGGAAGTAATTACCATCTGCATGTTGTCCTCAGAATGGCTAAAGCCCAAACACTGCAGACCAACCAGAAACTTAGGTATGAGCTGAACATCCATTCTCAAGACCCAACTTAAATCTATAAGAAGCTTTGTCCTTCTCCCCACAAGGAGCCTGCGACTTGAGCTACAGCAGCCTGGCTCCTAGTTCTGAACATTGCAATAAGTACCTCCTTTCTCCTAGCATCTCAATGCCAGTGATTTGGCTTCCTGCATGTGGGGCAGACATCTCCAGTCTGGGGGTTCTACAGCAACTCCTCCAACCACTTATTGAGACCGTTCCTTACTATTACCAATTCCTTGACAAGTTGAGGCATGTGGCACACTCACATGCTTTGTGATCAATTTAGCAGGAAGAACTGAGACTCTGACTATATTTCATATAGAGAAGGTTAAAAATGTTTTCCTCTACTTCAGTGGTTATGGCTTACAAATCACATGTAATATGAGACAGATAAGAAAAATGAGTTTTAGGTATATATGCACACACAAGAGTTCACAAAGAATGTCCTTCAAGGCGGTGGCCACATGACTGAGGTTTCTAGATAGTCTTGGACTAAGAAAAGGAAAAGGTGTGGGTCCTCTGAGTGGGAAAATCAAGTTTGGGAAAAGGAAGGCAGGAAATGAGCAGTAGAGTTGTCTCATTAGTCAAGCCAGAAGCTTTGTGGGGCTAGTTACCTCTGGCAGTAGCTCTCTTCTTAGTGTGGCGATCTCTTTACAAATGAAGTTTATGGGGTCCAGAAAGGTAAGTTATTATCTGGGTTGAGTAGTCATTGTATTTCTGGAAAAGGGGGGGCAACTTCCAGAACTAAGGATCCACCTCTTTTTCTCCCCTTATGTGGTCATTTCTGTAGGTTGTCATGGCAATTGTAACCTGTGATGGCAGGAGGGGGAGAGGTTTTTACTCTGTTAATGCATCACAATGAGGGTATAATGGGACTGGAGGAAAGGTAGTGCATAATCTGGACACCATTTTGGATTTAGCTGATTTGAACCAGTTCTGTTACCTTAATCTTGATTTTGTTCAGCTTACATCCTGGTGGATGGAGCTGAGACTTTCCATATACTATATATCAAAAAACACAGGGGCCGGCGCCGTGGCTCACTTTGTTAATCCTCCGCCTGTGGCGCCAGCATCCCATGTGGGTGCCTGGTATTTATCTCCAAATGGTATCTCCAGATGGTATTTCTCTCCAAATTAAAAACACTGTATACTAAAAATATTAATCTGTCAAGTAGGAGAGTTTTACAATTTCAAATAGATCAAAATTGTATACATACAACAATTGGAAATTAAACAAAAGTTGCAATGTTGTTTTTAAATGGGTGAAATATTTGAGTCCTAATGAATGTCAATGCACACAGCACAAGAATGAGATCTAAGGGCCGGCGCCATGGCTCACTTGACTAATCCTCCGCCTGCGGTGCCGGCACCCCGGGTTCTAGTCCCGGTTGGGGCACTGGATCCTGTCCCGGCTGCTCCTCTTCCAGTCCAGCTCTCTGCTATGGCCCGGGAGTGCAGTGGAGGATGGCTCAAGTGCTTGGGCTGCACCTGCATGGGAGATCAGGAGGAAGCACCTGGCTCCTGGCTTCGGATCAGCGCAGTGCACTGGCTGTGGCAGCCATTTGGGTAGTGAACCCACAGAAGGAAGACCTTTTTCTTTTTCTTTTTTTTTTTTTTTTTTTTTTATTTTTGACAGGCAGAGTGGACAGTGAGAGAGAGAGACAGAGAGAAAGGTCTTCCGTTGCCGTTGGTTCACCCTCCAATGGCCGCCGCGGCCGGCGCGCTGCGGCCGGCGCACCGCGCTGATCCGATGGCAGGAGCCAGGAGCTTTTCCTGGTCTCCCATGGGGTGCAGGGCCCAAGCACCCGGGCCATCCTCCACTGCACTCCCTGGCCACAGCAGAGGGCTGGCCTGGAAGAGGGGCAACCGGGACAGAATCCGGCGCCCCGACCGGGACTAGAACCCGGTGTGCCGGCGCCGCTAGGCGGAGGATCAGCCTATTGAGCTACGGCGCCGGCCGGAAGACCTTTTTCTCTGTCTCTCTCTTTCACTGTCTATGACTCTACCTGTCAAATAGTATATATATATATATATATATATATATATATATGGTTGCTTATCTTGGAAAATTATCACACTCATTAACTGCTAATAAAATATCAGGAATCATAATAAGATCTTATATATTTTCATTTATAAATGTCTGTGTCTGCGCTACATTACATAAACTGGATTAGCAAATTGCCATGTAAAATTTAGGTATGGGTAGAAGCCGTGCAATTTGCATACCAAATTAAGGTATAATGAGAAAGGAACAGATGATGACTGTTTTTCTGTTTTGATTTTAAATGTTTGCAAATGTGTGAGTCTATGTTGCTACTTATTTGTATGTATTTTCAACATATTTAAACTAAGAACTACATTATCATGTGAAGATATCTAGTGAAGGGAACAACAGACTGACTTCTAAAAATGCCATCCTGTTTATACAGTGTAAATATTCAACATGGGTTATTTTGGTCAAAACAGTTGTATTTTAGAAAACACAGCATTGCAATCCTCTTTACCCTGATCTTCGACTTTATTCT